ACACCTTTGAACCACTTGGTATACACCCCTTCCCCCCGGTATTTTTAAAGCACCATGGCTGCTAGAAACTCATCACTCTATCATGTTCAGTACTCTTACTGTCTTTCAATGTTTTTCTAATGCACACTTGCTTCTTGGAATCACTTTCTGCATAGAATCTCGTTACTTTTTCTCTTTGCTTCTTTATATCACACACAGTTGACGAACCAATACCATACTGATCACACACCCGTCACACCGAAACACTACGGTCGAGTTTTCTCAAGAGTTCCACCTTATCTTGTATCGATGTGGACTGGTGTTTACGCTTTACACCACCACTGACACTTGTACTTGCCTTTGAAGCCATAGCTGGGGTTAAATATGTCCAAAACAAGCTGAGAATTACACAAAATCAAGAAGCTACCACCAGCAACTGCAGAATAAACAAAGCGAGCGCTGTTAACACGTAATGCCATCTGTGGGCAGCCCAGTAAACTAATCTGGAGGTCAAGGGAATTTTGTCCTGGTTAAAAGAGGTGCCGGACCATCCGTTGCCGGAAAATCGGTGGAGTACCTGTAATTAAGTCCCTAACTTGGTCTTTTTGTGTTTGTATATTAGTGTCAAAGTATTTATGTTTAGAGTACACCCACCTCTCGTTTTACGCGGGGGTTACGTTCTTGAAAACCACCGCTTAATTAAAAACTTCTTAAATTAAACATAAATTTCCCATAAGCATACATGTAAATGGTACAGGTTAAGGGAACCATCATATACCACACAGGGTACGAACAGTGCTCTCACTTAAACCAAGCATGCTGCCAACACACACATACTCCTCTCTGAAGGCCGGTGATCACATTTAATTTCACGCCCATTGTGATTGTTTTTCGTGCCTTTTTAGCTTTAGGCGTCCCAGAGGCAGATGGGTGTTTTACAGACATGGTCAATGGGAGAAACGGCGTTTAACACTAAAAAGGTACGTGATAAACACAATGCAAATTGGAGCAAAGAGAAGTAGTAGTGCTGGTGTGAACTGAGAAAGTGATACCCGGGAAGCTTGCTGGACGTGGTCAAAGTTTTTGTACAGAATACTTCATTATCTTCACCATTAGAAGTAATTATCTTTATTATTACATTATTATAATTATTATTATTAATAATATAAAATTGTTGATGTTGATATGACTGCAACTTTATAGTCATAACTTACAAGTACCTCACCAGGCATCACACGCGACTCCACTGCCAGACGACCAGGTGAATACACGATGCAAATTTAAACTGTCTTGAGCGCGTTATTTAAAAAATAGGTGCGTTTAAATTAGCTTTTGGTATTAACTGAACAATCGCGTTGTTCCAAAAACGCTTAAATCAAACGCACGTAAAACGAGTTACCTGTATATAAAGTAAAAGAATAAAATCATTTTAACACCTGTGCTGAACTGATATTCCAGCTCAGGAGTGCCATAAGAAACGTGAAGATTAGTTATTACAGAAAAACAAAAAAAATTTAACCCAAAGTTGATTGTAAATACATAATGCCGCTCAGTCTCATATTTTCTCTCTTAATTATATTAATAACTTTAAGCTTTGCATAAATCATTGTTTATCAATTTTGATACCTTACAAATACTACTTTCTTTTTTACTTTTTCTACTTGTGTGTTTCACTTCAATTAATTTAACTTTTGTTTTGTTTTTAAGTAGTTTTGAAGAAAGCTACTTTATACAAATTTTAATTTGTACAAAGCAACAGTGTAGTACTGTACTTTATTTTAAGTAATACTTCCAGGTACTTTCTCCATCACTGTTTAAAGTGGATCTGAATTGAGCTGGACCTGATGTGAACTAGACTAAAGTGGGCTGGACGTGCAAGTGAAGGAGATCTGAAGTTAACTGGACCTAAAGGACTAGATAGTAATTAATTACTATTTTCTGGTACTTTGAATATTAGGATGGTTCTACAGGCATTCCCCAGTTTATAAGAGAGTTCTGTTCCTGAAAAACCTTTAGTAAATCAGATAAATTTTCCCATAGACTTCCATTATAAAAGCCGAGATACTTTTCTATAATGAAAATACTAACCCAAAATGTCTTAACCCTTAAGCCCCGGGTTACGTTCCAGAACGTCTGCCTATTTTCCCATGACACAGAAGTGAGAGTTAACACTGTGGTGTTAATAACTTTACTAAAGTGAGGATATTACTTCAATAATTATGTAAGAGATAAAATCACAAAGTAACTTCATGAAATTACCGTTTACTGTATCTTAAAGTATAGTTCAAGTCTTAATGATCAAATTTTTATGTAAAAAATTGGGGTCAAACTATACATGCATAATATTTTTGAGGGGTTACAATTTATGCATTTCCATGGGTCATTTACAGTGAATGATAGTACCTGGTGCAGTACGCACTTATGGTAGGTTAACCTTACCAGTAAGCTCCTTTATCCTGGGGTTGCCTACCGACCCCAAGATCCTATGTGGCTACAGGAAGAGCAGAACCTTTCACTATACAGTATATGCTGGTTTAAATATACAAATGCCTGATAGAATTGGTTTAGATATTTTTCTTTGCATCTGTTTAAATTACTGGGAGATGATCAACTTTCCCCACCTGTGAGCTGTATGCTATGTTATGGTCAGAGTGAGGGAAGATTGGACTAAAGTTAATTGAGAGGGAAGACTGCTGGAGACATAATTGAAGAGTATTACAGTGAGGGTGGGAAGGCTGGTGATATGAATTAAAACTATTCTCAAGTAATGTATATGTGGGAGAAACTTGACTAGAACATAAGACTTTACTGTACTGTAGCAGAAGAAGAGTGAGGAAACACCTTAGGATAGACTGAAGTTTTATACAAGCAAAGGAAGGATATGTGCCACTTAATCTGCACTGGATTATTTTTTTAATTTCTTCCACATCCTAGGTTTAGGTTTCACTTCTTCAGAACTCAACCATAAAGAGAGTCACCTATCAACTGGAATCAACTGAATCTGACCATCTTTCCCCGACCTTTAGGACGGGGTCAGAAGTCTATTCTGGGAAGGATGTTTTTGGACCAGCATGCTTGTTTGTCCAGTGGTTCCAGGAGTCAGGATCCTCTTGAGGGAGAAACCTGGCCCTCAGACTTGGCATCAGCCAGGTTCAGGTGTAACGGGCCGAGTTTTCTCTTTTAATAATTTACCATTCAGATATTATTTTCTGTTAGTATTCTATTTATTCATATACTTATATGTTCGTTGTAGCATTCTTTCCAATGAGTATCCTGTTTTATATACTTATCCTTCTTCAATTCTTTACATATATACTTATTCTTATATATTCTTGCTTATATTCTTACATGTTCTTTATCTCTATATACCTTCTATTCTTATATATTCTTATATAAGTAACTCTTATGCTTCTCTGCTTATATTTTCCAAGTCAATGTTCTTTCTTTTCATTTTCTTTCATATACCGTATTATAATCTCTTCCATTTATTTTGTTCTAGTTATATTCTAAACCATGGATTAACCTGGGAAACCATGTCTTTCTTATTACCACACTTATTATACTTACAACGGTAGACCTGCCACCACCCAGGATTTTTCTATAATATAACATATCTTAGTTAACTGTTAGGTAGCGAGCTTCTAGGCTTGTGAGTTAGTTATTTTCTGAGAACCAATGTGGGAAAGGATAGAGTGGTGATACTCGTAGATTACTAATTCAATATTTATTAACACAGTGATTGGATAAGATGCATCTTAGATTCACTCAGACAAAACAGAACTGCAATTTATTTATTAAGTCATCAAACACTTCAAGAACTTATTACCTCATTAAATACCTCCAAATACTTATTACTTCAATCGACAATTGTGGTATTATCACTCTGCCAAATGATATTCAGTACTGGGTATACACCAGATATCACTGGACCCTCAGGTCTTACCTTACCAAGTAGCAAATTAACTCTTCACTTCTTGGTTATATCATTATACTCTCAGATTATCATTTCATGGTCACTACCGATGAGTACATAGCACACTGGACAACTCCACAATTATCGCAACATACAATACCTCCTGTTAATTCTCAAGGAACAACATGGCACTTTTAACTCTCATTCAGTGGTTCAATACTTAACCTGGGATACTATATTTCGGCTAGTTATCCCCCAAACAAGATACAATAATACTTAGGCCCATGTAACTGTGAGGAGTGCTCCAGGGTAACGCTGGTCTCTACAACAAATGAAGATCGCTGTTAGGGGTCGGTTGTAGACAGACACACGCCCAGGGAGCTGGTGCCTGATTTGCAGGAAACGGACTTCCCAGTTTAATCCTGTCGAATTAACGGCATCGTCCAACCCGGTTACCGACCCACGTTAGCCGATGAGTATTCAGCTCAACACACTGGAGAGACGTTGAGGAAGAGTCACGAATGCCTAAATGCCTAACTTCAACTATACAAAACATACGTCTGGCAACGGTTCAGACGATATCTAAATCTCTACGTTACTTGACTTAATTGGCACAGAATTCACTATGTTAACACCTGAACACTGATATTCACAAAATTGACCAAGTTAAACTGAATTAATAGGCGGCGGGGAACACACGTTAACATACCTGGAGAGACGTTGAGGAAGAGTCACAAATGCGTGATTCTCCCTCGTGTAGAGGTATATACGTGCACCAGTGGGGCAGCTTGGGCCTCCGTATTCATACCAGAAGGGTCGATCTTACCAACAACATAACTTCTCTACCATTTTGGATCACTGTAAACTTAGTTATGAACTCCAGTGTTCTTGATCAGGGTAATTTCCTATGTCTATTCATATAATCTAATCAGAGGTTGAGCTTGCCAGGAAAAGGTGGATTATACACGTCGATAACATTAATTCTGCAAGCAAAGGCCTGAGGCGAACAAGGAGCTATTCACGGGGAGGCGCTACATCTTGGAGATTATACCAGTTGACAGAATAGTTCAGGAAATTAATGACTTTCTCAAATAGACAACTGCCACTAACTAAACTATAAACATCAGATTCTCTGATGTCGGGGCGACAAAATGATATAACTTCAGGCGCGATCAGAAACTCATGGATACCCCCACGGACGACATAAAATACGCCACTAGCTGGCAAACTCGACACTCACTCACTTGACACGTTTTACTAACGATAAGGACAGTTGAAGCGTTCTACCCCACTCACAATGGATCTTGAATGTTCCCACTGTAAACAGACATATCTAGGTTGACTCAAAACAAGGGTGTTTTCTCTCACACTCAAATTCATTTTATAGAGAGGTTGGTTTCAATAAGTCAGAGAAAATGGGATAACGGAGGACTGAGGTGTCTTGAAGTGATAAGAAAACGGACTCCTCAGATGGAGGACTCAACGAAAGCCGAGTTATATGTTTTGTGGGCTATTGAGCGTAATATGAATCATTTGATTTTGGTGCTAACTGACGTGTAAGACCGTGGTCGTGACAACACCACCTGTGTTTTTTTACCAGGTATGATTGGTAATGAGTAATGTGCTGTATGAGTCGAGCACAGTATGATTAGTGGTGAGTCAAGAGCTGTATGAGTGATAGTGAGTCGAGCGCTGTATGAGTGATAGTGAGTCGAGCACAGTATGATTAGTAGTGAGTCAGGCACTGTGAGTAATCTACTGTGTGTATGATTGTTACTGTGTCATGTGCCATATCATCCCATCAATCATCCACCTCCTGTGTGTGAAATGGTGTACTTCCAGGTATCACATATCATGCTGAGTGTCTTGGGTCGTGCACAGTTGATGCTGTATGTGTTGCTTATATCATGTTTTGGGTATTTTGATGCTCTCTCTCTCTTTGTTTATCTTTCTCACACACACACACATGCAAAAAAAAAAAACCCTAAACTAACCTAACTTAGATACATAATGAGATCATTAAAAGTTGAAAGTCACCATCTCTTCTCTCAACAGGTTGGAGGGAGGCATAAGGTCGAGCATGACAACCATTACTGGTGTTGGCTGGGCAGAAGCCGTCACTTGTGCACCAAGATGTCTTCACGTTTTAGCTCTCTGGTCTGTAGTCTCAAATGTAAAGTATGTTGAATATTTCTCCTAAGTTAAGATGCAAGGTTGTATCTGATTGTGTGATTCAAGGTGATGGAATCTCAAAGGTATGTTGAATATTTCTTATAAATTAAGATGTAAAAATGTATCTGATTGGTGACATAAGATACAACATTGGTCAAGGATGAGTTGTCCTAATTTATTTAGTATGGATCAGGAAGCTGATTCTAGGACTGTAGTTAGCCTGATTAAAACTCGGGCCTTCGTTGATGAGCAGCAGCAATTTGACAGTAATTACATAAGATCATCGGAATCGTCTTAGTGATGTGCAAACCGATAAAGGATTTTTTAATGCTAGATGCGATTGTATTTTTTAAAACTCAATCTCCACTGAGTTGGAGGTACAGCCCAGGTCAAGAGGCCTACAACCACAAAATCTTTGTCATAAGACAATTTTTTTTTTTTTACGGAGTTGTGGTCACTGCTGTGATTAGCCACCCAAAGGTCAACCAGGGAGTGTAGTACTGTGCCTTTAGTTAAATCAGTTGATAGTGTCATCAGTGACTGCGGAACAGGTTGTAAATACTTAGAGTGAATACAAATTGGCAAGCAAGCTGTTAAGGCACCACTGCCACAGAGACTTTTATTTTGTATTTGTGCTCTCTCAATGACTGAAACTGTGCCTAACACCATTCACAGGGAGATACAATAAGTACTTTCAGAATAACACATAAATGCCTAAATCATTCCTTGGAAACCAATAGTTGATAAGTAATTAGCACTGCCCTGTGGTACCCCTTTTGTGACAGGTACAGATAATGATTTAGTGCCATTAATCACCACACACTGCTTGCAGTCATATAGAAAGTCTTCTATCCACGCTAGGATATTTCCCCAAATACCGTACCCTTCCAGTTTGATTTTCAGCCTTTCATGGGGTACACTGTTGAAAGCCTTGGCAAAATCTAGGTATATGTTATCGATATTACCACCCCGTTCCAGAATATGGGTCCAAATATCCAATACTTTGAGCAATTGTGTTAAGCAGGAATGCCCCGGCATAAAACCATGTTGGCAATCCTCTACAAGGTTGTTTTGTAGTAGCTGTTCCATTACGGCATCTCTGATAGTACTCTCAAGTATTTTACATATTATGCTGGTCAGGCTCACCCCTCTATAGTTGTTCGTGGAGTGACGATCACCCTTCTTGAGTATAGGACTCGCATAAACCACTTTCCAATCACTGGGGACCTTTTGTTCATCCAGGCATTTACAAAACAGGATCTTTAGGGGCTCGGCAAGCTTGTTGCACAACTCTCTTAGCACTCTGGGATGCACAATGTCAGGGCCAGGACTCTTATGGACCTTCAGCTTTGACAGTTTATTTCTAATACCCTCTTCTGTGAACATAATGTGGGTCACTGCTGTGTCGAACCGTTTGTCACCAAACGCAGGAAGGTTAATCGCATCCTCTCCTGTGAACACCGAGGAAAAGAAGCTGTTCAATGTCTCGGCTTTATCCTAGTCAGAATCTGCGTAACTACCATCTTCAAGCCTCAGGTCTGATACTCCTACTCGCATTTTTAATTTCGACTTTGCATAGCGGTAAAACGCCTTTGGATTTGTCTTGACCTCACTTGCAACCAGCCTCTGGAACTCCTTTTCTGCCCTTCTACACCTACCTTTGCTTGTTTTCTGGCTCTTGCATACATCCTCCTGTCCTGCTCATCGCATGACCCAACCTACGTCTTGAATTCTGAGTTTTCTTCTTAACTTTATCGACCGCCTCATGGTTCATGTGTAGGGACCCCCTCATATTCCTAGAGGCACTGGGTTTGGTCTTGGGTATATATTTATAGATCAAATGGGTCACTTTACTAGTTATGATATTCAGCGTAGTGTATGTGTTCTTGTGCCTCAATGAGTTGGGCCAGTGGATTCCCCTCATCTCTTCCCTCATCCCATTGTAATTTCCCTTGTAATATTTGCACCTTGGCCTGGCCTTATCTTGAACTAGGTAACAGTTAAATCTGAATGACAACACTATGTGGTGACTGGTGCCAACTGGGGCAAGATGTTCCAGTTTGGCCACCATACCCTCCTCATTTGTTATGATGTGGTCTAGTGGCTTGGGTGTTTGCTCCCCTCTGTAATGTATCGGGTCTCTAACATGATGGAACAGAAAATTATCTCTCAGAGTTTCTAAAAAAAGAGTAACAGGGTTATTCAAGTCATTTCGGGTGAACTCGTTTTTCCAGTCTGTGTCGCCATAGTTAAAGTACACATGATATGGAGGTGGCTAGGGTTGAGCATTGCTGCAGTGTCTATTAAGGCTCTTAAGTTCCTTTGATTTAGTGGGCCACAGTTTGGGGATCTGTAGATACACCTGACGATAAGTAATTTAATTTTACACCATTTGGACTCTTCAAAAACATCCTCTCCCTGTACTCTCACCTGGCTGACTCTAAGGTCTTGCCTAGCATAGATAACCACACCCCTCTTGCAAGTTTTTTGAGAAAGGATCGTAAATGAGTCATATCCAGCTATACTGAACTCGCATTCCTCTGGGTCAATTCTCCTGTTCTTGTACTAACAGGGGCCGGATACTCAAAAACATTTATGGGGATGTATGTCGTTGTGTACCCCGTAACTGGACATACAGTCTCAGATTGGCATACTCAAAACACAGATGGTATACTCAAAACAAATATTTGACATCGAACTCCGCAAGTTAAAGTGCGTAACTTACACCAGCTCCTGAGGTTGTGTAACACTCTCAACCCGGATGTAGTAGTGACCAATTCCCTATTGTATAAAAAATAATAATAATATATGTTGTAATGTTGACTTGGTTTATCATAGGATAATGAAGAAAATATTTTGTACACCAACATACTGAAATATAATATTTCACTTTGTCTTTTTCGTAACTTTTTTGTTGCCATAATAAGCGGCTTGAGTGTTTGTATTTGTCTCAGTTTGGAAGAGACGCATCTTTTGTCTTCTTACAAATTATAAAGTATTTTTTACCAAAACAGAAGGTTTGTATTGTTCACACTTGGGTAAAAATATGTTTTATGACTGAGTAAACTTGCAGATAGAACTTATTAATGTTGTATAGCCGTAAATATCCCTCAGTAATGAAAGCCAATATGAGGTGAAGTGAACATTCCTGCCAAGACTTCACCTGTTTTTCTAATATTCAACCAATAGTCTTAGCCTATTTTCTTATGTATATGGCTTATGATAACATGAAAGGCTATAAATTTCCATAGGCTAGCCAAAATTAAACGATATTAGGCGTAACATGTGGGTTGCAATTAACTTGATTAATAGGGGCCTATATAACTCTTTTTCAGTCTTAGACAAATAAATGTTTAAACGTGGGGCCTACTTAATTTAGTTAAAACATGAGGATTATTTAAATAAGAAATTATACCAATAGGTTATAGGTTAGAGAGGTTTGGTTTGGTTATGTTATGTTATGGTATGTTAGGTTAGGTTAGAGAATGTGTACATGGTTTTTTGGTGAGTGTCAGGCCGTCAGTGAGACACTTTGTCTAGCAGCTACCTTAGGCCTAGTTCCAGACTTTCAACATTATCATAGGTAGAGTATTAATTTAAGAAAATTTACGGCTAATCCGATATAATTTCAGGTTTTAAATTGTTGTTTTTTGTATGAACTTGAAGACAATTCAGACCAAATGTCCCCAACATTGAAAGGAAAACACCAGGGTCTAGGCTAAATGAGTAATTTAAGAGAAGTGAGTTGTCATTTAGGTTCGGCAAAGCTATGTTATCAATAACCAATTTATTTGAATTTGCCCAGAATAGTGTATACTTCAGCCTCACTGAAATTAGGCCGTCTCTTCTTGGCTGGTGTTCCTTCCATGTTTACAAAATAATATTATGTGCGTCGCTCTCAGCTGATTTCTCCTTCTCTTGTGATTGGTTGATGATTTTGTTAACTGAGCGCTGATTGGCCAACTAGCTCCTGCACTGACATCTACCTTCCGACAAGAGAACTTAATTTACAGGGTAAACACTAGAGTTATGAATACTTACGAAAGGCTTACGGAACTGTAATTAAATTTTGAGTATGCTAAATTTACGGGACTGTAAAGATTCGACAATATATGGTACTGTATCATGCTAAAAGACGTAACTTATGAGGTGTTTTGAGTATCCGGCCCCAGTTCTACAACTCCTACAATATCTGGTTGGTGTACCTTCAGTAGTGTTTCAAACTCCTCTCTCTTATCAAGAAACATGTCAGAATTAGTGTACATAACATTCGAGCCAGAATTTGTTCTCGGTAATGTCTGCTCTTAGTAGTAACACCCCCCCCATTCTCAAAAGCTGCAGCATTTGCTAAGTACACTGTATGTCATTGTTTACACCGTGCTCGCCTCCTCCCGGGTGGGGGGTAGAGCGGGTGGAGGGTGCGCTGTTGACACACTTGCTTCCACTATCTTCTCCCCGTTCCTCCTCGACTCATCCCTTCTCTGCTTCAAGCCCTGCAGGAGCTTCCTGTGCTGTTCCCTCTGCATTACCGTGCATTCTGGGTGAATGAATACACTCCAAGATGCCTCGCTCCTTGCTAAGTTTTTTGCCTGCCGAATAACCTTCCATTTCTCCTCCTCACTCACTAGTGTGATCCTGAGGGGACCAGGCTTATCTCCCTGCTGTTGTCCCAGCCTCCTCACATCCTGGAGGGTTGATGGCATTTTCAGAACCTCTGTACAAATATTCTTAAACTACATCTTATCGTGTGTTATCTTACTCTAAGTTCCCTCCGCCTGGCTCTCAGGGACTCCAAAAACTATTACATTGTTCCTGCGCTGGAAACGTTCCAGTTGTTCCTCCTCTCCCCTAACAGTAGGTCCGTTAATTTCCATTTCTTCGACACACTGCTTCAGGGTTCCTAGCTGCTGTAGAACCTGTTCTGATCCTAAATTACTCTCCCCCACCTCCAGTAGCCCTGCTAATGCCTCGGCATAACTTCTCTTAACAACTACCTCCATTATATCGGCTACTTCCTCAGTCTTAGCAAGGATATCTTTCCCAACTTGTCCTAGTTTGGCAACCAGCAAGGCTCTAGCGTCATCTATTTTCGTCCCTAGGGAACTCATTCCCCTTTTGCTTGCAATCGCCTCTTTCACCTTGACTCTGCAGTCAGGGCAATACCAGCAACAGCCTTCATGCTTTACAGCAGCTTGCATCGTCCTAAATGTTGCATTAGTCAGGCCTGTATCATCCATATCTGTTATCCCCGCATTAATCTCATATCATACTCATGGTTGTTGTTGTTGGGGGGGGGGTGCAGACTGTGTATAGATCTACATTTATTTAAGAATAAAGAAAAAAAACAGTACTTAGCTGCCCTCTGCTGGTTTTATCCTCCCCTGTTGCCTTTAGGGTTGTCTTCTCTTATTTTTTTTCAGTTCACTTCTGCAATTTGTCA